AATTATGAAATCGAATATTTTATACAAAGTGTAAACATGTATATATTGATATGTACAGCGAAATTGATTTATTGTAAAACAATCCGCAACCAGGGAATATCAGAATGCGCCAGGGCGATAGATAGGATCTAATTTTGTTTTCTTGATTAAAGAGTCAGGCTAGTCCTATTCTAATTAGCCTTAATTAGCATTCCCATCTGTCATTTTAACTTGTCAGTATCTCCGTGTCAATTGACAGCAACTTATGTCATATCATGTCATTTGTACGTCTTAACGTCTGATCCATAACGTCTAAAATCGCTGAAGATTGATCTGTTAAAAAAACAATATAGATTTTAAAAAGTAGCTTTAACAAAACCCACATTTCTGAGCCGTGCTTTATAGTAGAGAAAACCCAGTGTCAGGGAACTTTGAAGGTATGGAACAAAACTATCAGGGAACTTTGAAAGTATGGAACAAAACTATCAGGGAACTTTGAAGGTATGGAACAAAACTATCAGGGAACTTTGAAGGTATGGAACAAAACTATCAGGGAACTTTGAAGGTACGGAGCAAAACTATCAGGGAACTTTGAAGGTGTCGAAAAAAACTATCAGGGAACTTTGAAGGTACGGAACAAAACTATCAGGGAACTTTGAAGGTACGGAACAAAGCTATCAGGGAACTTTGAAGGTATGGAACAAAACTATCAGGGAACTTTGAAGGTATGGAACAAACCTCGACAGGTGATGCAGGTAAGCGTAGACCGGGTATTGCCAGGTGGGAAATGAGCCACCGCCAGTAACGGATTTTTCTGGACTATTTTTAGAAGTGCGGATTTTCCGGACTATTTTTAGAATCTCTGTGTTTTGCTGTGGCGGAACAACCAATGACGCCACGTAAACAAACTCTCGCGAGACTTCACTGAAGCGTCATTTCACGTGACTTGTAGCTTTGCCATTTGCTCAAGGTTTTGCAAATATTATCGGCAGGTCTGTAGCCCCGACTTTATTAAGGCTATAGTCCTAACTCTAGTAAGTCTACAGCCTGAACATCAGTAAGTCTATAGCCTGAACATAAGCAAGTCTATATCCTGAACATAAGCAAGTCTATATCCTGAACATCAGTAAGTCTATAGCCTGAACATAAGCAAGTCTATATCCTGAACATCAGTAAGTCTATAGCCTGAACATCAGTAAGTCTATAGCCTGAACATCAGTAAGTCTATAGCCTGAACATAAGTAAGTCTATAGCCTGAACATCAGTAAGTCTATAGCCTGAACATCAGTAAGTCTATAGCCTGAACATAAGCAAGTCTATATCCTGAACATCAGTAAGTCTATAGCCTGAACATCAGTAAGTCTATAGCCTGAACATCAGTAAGTCTATAGCCTGAACATAAGCAAGTCTATATCCTGAACATCAGTAAGTCTATAGCCCAGCATCAATAAATATATAGTCCCAACATTATTTAGTCTATAGACTAATCCTATAGCCCCAAAAAACAAAATCGGCATCTCTAAAGACCCAACGACGTGACATATGGCACCGATCCCGTCCCCCAGCCCACCGATTCCCAGGTATGACCCCCAGGGACACCGGAACCTGAGACGCCCATACACAAACAGGTGTAAACAGGTGTAGAAGGGATCAAGGTAAATAACCACATACTTGAGAAAAATGTGATAATAAAACAAACAAAAATGGCGCCTAGGCCCAGCGCTACACCCACCTCACTGGTTAGCTAAAGCAGCGAATCTAAACAACAATATTTAGGTCGCACGTCTAGAACTGACGTGCTACCACCCTATGTTCTGTATCTAAATAAATAACATACAACTGTTGAATATAAGCCTGTTAGATTTGTTTTCTTAATAATTGTATGCCATTTTCACGCTCAGCGTATGTGTGGAGGTACATATGTCTCCCCAAGAATATCCTTCACTTGGAGGAAAAAATAGATGGAAGCGTGTTGGGGGCTGTATGGTTGACATACCCCCCCCCCCCCCTGTGCCCTGCTGAAATTGTGGTCCTGGTTCACAACCTCCTCCTGTGTCTACCTGAACTTTTGGCTCTGGGTACTCTACCCTTTGACTAGCTGCACATATACCCTGGACATTACGCCACCTGCTGTAGCTGGCAGCAAGTTTTATATACCGTAGTAACTTTTACGTATGTCCCAATATTCAAAAGTATGTCTGATTGTTGGCTGTTGGTTTTGTGGTCAAATCTAATCGCTCAATTATTTTTATTCGTGTTAGGGATCGGTTTAATCTAGAAAGACCTGAATAGAAACACAGTACTAATTTTATTTTTAAATATCGACATTCCCTTTTATCTTTAAAATATCTAATCACTAAACAAATATAAAATGTAATAGTAACATGTTTAAGCGTGCATACAACGAAGAAGATTCATAGATCTATTTTCTCTATAAAGGTAAAAGCGTTGTCGCTAAGTGGAGCCACCCAGACTATATTTATTTTTCTTTTCTTGTGCATTTTAAAGTTTTATTAACGAAGTTTTTCTTTCTAAATCAGGAGTTTGCAAGGCATTTATATCTAATATTCTGTATTGTTTAATACAATGTATTTTTTCAAACCGTAAATACGAAGGTAGATTTAGATAAAACACTCACAGCATGCTATTCAAACACAGGGCTTATAATAAAGGCATGATATTCACTATTCGGAGAAGGCTGTCATTTAGTGCTAGGGGAAATCACTCTCAGTGGAGAAGCCTCACAAGAACAAAGCACGCAGATTACCCGCCCTGTTCGGTATTGGGTCTCGCTATCAGAATCGCTGAACTTATTCCCAAGCCACTTTTTCATTGTTTTGTGCCGGATATTCCGTATAACCCGGCTTATGATAACGAAAGTACGGGTATGTTTATACGTCACTTCCTCGGGGAAATATCCAATCATGACACTGATGGTAAAGTATGGGGAAATGTGACTGAGTGCAGATAGGTATTGTGCAGGGGTTGGCAGTGTAACCGGGTGGGTGGGGGGGCTCAGTATAGCAGGGGGGTGGGGGTTCAGTGCAGCATGGGGTCTCACTGTAGCAGGTGGGTCTGTTGAAGAGGATGGGTCTAGATGAAGGAGGGGGATCTCTGTAGAAGGGGGGTCTTAGTTTAGCAGGGGGGTCGCGGGGTCTGTTGAAGAGAGTGATCTATGCGAAGAAGGGAGGTCTCAGTTTATCAGTGGTGTGCTTAGTGTCGCGGGGGTCTCAGTGTATCAGTGGGGTGCTTAGTTTTGCGGGGGTCAGTGTATCAGTGGGGTGCTTAGTTTTGCGGGGGTCAGTGTATCAGTGGGGTGCTTAGTTTTGCGGGGGTCTCAGTGTATCAGTGGGGTACTTAGTTTTGTGGGGGTCTCAGTGTATCAGGGGATCTTTTAAAGAGAAGGGGTCTTGGCAAAGCAGTGGGTCTTGTTGTCGCAGGGGGAGGGGGGTCTCAGGTAGCTGTGTGGGTCTCAGTGTAGCAGGGAGGTCTTAGTGTATCAGGGGGTCTCTTGAAGAGAAGGGGTCTCGGCAAAAAAGTAGGAGGGGGTCTCAGTGTAGCAGGTGGGTCGGTATAGCGGGGTGGGAGGTGCAGGGGTTATGTGTAGCAGAGGGGTCAAGCACCGGCTTTTCTGGCAAACTCCCCCCCCCCCCTCGACCTTTGTATAGACATGGGCGTGTTTACAAGAAGAGGATGATGTAGCCTAGTGTAAATGTCAAGAGCCTGTCAAATTTATGTAACATTTGCATGCTCTTACCGCCTGATCAAAATATTGCATCTAATGAGTGCACCATCGTTAATTAGATGGCCAGATAAATTATTTGATAGGGTTGGGGTGTCGGGTACTGTATACACACACTAAAGTGTATAGAGACGTCACCAGTCACGAGTTATTTGTCTCTCACAAATTGTTTGAAACAGTTCATAGGGTATTTCGTTCACTGACAGACACCTTTTGAGGGTCACTGTTGTTATACCAGGACAAGAGGGGGTGGGGGGGGGAATAAACAAGACAAAATTGCGCAACGCAAAAGAGAATAAATCCTTTCAAAAAATTCAAATGTAGATAAAAAAAGTCACGGTTTTGGAGGTGGTATTATAGCGTTTTAAATGTGGTAATTTAAAGGTTTTTAATGTGGTAATTTAAAGGTTTTAAATTTGGTAATTTAACGGTTTTTTAAAGTTGATTTTAAATGTTTTAGACGTAGTATTTTAACGGATTTTAGAGATGGTATTTTTAAAGTTATGAAGAGTTGGTTTTTCACCTTAGGTTGTAGGTGAGCGACCGGGGGGGGGGGGGGTTAGGGTGTGGGGAAGGGGGAGCACTAATTCGCTTTGTTAAGGGATAGAAATGTTCACACTGTACACACTTATCAATGTCGTCTGTACATCAATGTCGTCTGTACACACTTACCAATGTCGCGTGTACACACATACGATTAGAGTCTGTAAAATCCGCATTGTTTTACTTCGTTGGGTGTTGATAACATCGATATTCTCTATGTGAATTGCTAAGATTCGAAGTTGTAAACAATACAAAATGTTGTTAAATATATCAATGAATAAATGTTTCAAATAGCTAATTACAATCACAATATAAAATGTATAATTATTTTCAGTCAAGTTGTGCTCATTTCTCTGTTACATAACCGTCACTTTGTGACGCTTTTGTGATACAGTATCGTCACATTACACCCCCCCCCCCCTTTAACTCTAAGTTACTTGGAATAAAAATAAATAATATGGATGTTAAAATACTTCTCCATTACTTGACAATCCATTATAGACAATCCGATTCTAGGAAATCTAATTATGGACAATTTTATTTAGTCGATATAGACTTTTCTAATACCGATCTAGTAATTTAATGTATCACTAATGTAATATGCACTTATGCGCTGAACTTGCCCAACTCTCACTAACCTCTCGTCCATCTAACACAACTCTCACGAAACTCTCGCCCAACTCTCGTCAAACTCTCGCCCAACTCTTGCCCTACTCTCGCCCAAATGTCGCCCAACTCTCGTCAAACTCTCGTTAATCCCCCAATGATAAACTCGTCATCCCGCGGCGTCCACGGTACGGGTTTGTGCCGCTGTGTGACGTCACACTCCCCGCCAGAAAACCTGGATCCCAGCAGCGCTATCTCCGGCCCGCTGTCTCTCCTGGCTCCAACCCTGGCGGCGCCTGGAGCCGCAGACGGCGGGGTGCCGTTGGTTTTGATGATGTGGATGTTGGCTATCAACGACCCGGATGAGAACTCCTTCTGCGACAAAGGTGAGGTGACAGAATCCACCTCTGAAGGTTCCGTCTCTTCTGATTTAGTGCGGTGCTGCTCTTTTAAATGTATGGCGTCTTCGTTGGCGAAGAGCAGAGTGTTTTTGTTCAGTTTTCCTTTACGGTTAGCTTTTGGTTTTTTGTGTAGCGAAGGAAGCGGGCTAAAACGGAATTTGTTTAAAATAGAAAACGTTGAAGATGATCCCTGTTGTTGCGGCGACGGTGCCGACACGACGGTGACGTCGGCAGGTGAAACCATAGACGGGGCCTGAGAGTGTGTTGGTTCCCGGTTGATGTTCCGCTTGCTGGTGTTGTTGGTGCCGGGGGCGCTGCTGGTGTGGCGTATCAGCCTTGACCTCACGCGGTCAAGAAGCTGGTGCCTCTCGTCTGAGTACTGTCTGTGTTTGGTTCCAGTGGAGGTCGCTGGCCGCTTGGTGCAGGTGACGAAGGCGATGAGGTACTTGAGGTGGTACTGGCGTAGGGTGAAAAGGCCGTACAGGATAGGGTTGAGCGTGCTGTGCACCATGACCAAAAACTTCTCGAGCACTTTGATCGTGTCTAATTTCACTTGGTAGTCGCTGTATATCCGGACTAAATTGATGAAGAAATAAGGCGTGTGGCAGATCAGGAAACTCATCACCACGCTTAGCGTCATAATCAGCGCGCGTCGTTTCGACGCCGTGACCAGACTCCTCCTGACGCTCATCCTGGGCGAGCCCGGGTTCATATCGTCGCTCAAGTCCGACAACTTTAACTTCTTCTCCTCGGGGTTGTCGTTCGTGTCTTTCTTCTCCTTGACATTCCTCGCCCACCGGACTATGGGCGTGGTCGAGGTGTCCCTCACACTGACGTCACTCCCCTCACACCCACACACCACACTGCTGCTCTTCTCCTCGCTGTCCGACAGTTTCTTCCCCTGCGTTGTGTCCGTGGCCGCGGTTACCCGCGGGGGGACGAGATTCGAGGGACGCCGTCGGGACTCGTTCTTGGCCCGCACCCAGACGACGCGGATGATCTTGACGTAGCAGTACAGCATGATGACCATCGGCACGACCAGGATGTACACGGTGGTGAAGGTGAAGTAGACTTTACGCTGCCACGGGGCGGTGTAGCCGTTGCTCCCACAGATACGGCGCGGGCTGCCGTCGAACTTGACGCCGTCGTTGTACTGGACGAAGATGAAGAGCTGGGGGATGGGGAAGATGAGGCTCAGTATCCAGGAGATGGCTATCTTCAGCCAGATCCGCGGACGTTTGGCCAGAGACTGCATGGGCTTGACGATCACCTGAGTGGGGAGTTAAAAAAATGTATTAAAACATCGTTTGTTTTTAGAGCTCAATGGGCTATAAAATCATATGAAGGATAAAAAAAAATCATGAAAACTTTCTTCATTTTTGTAGCTTGTGTTTTTATAGGCGTAAAGATCACGAGAACAAAGAATTAAAAAAAAAACTTCTCTCATTTTTGTACATTTATATAAACCAATATAGTTGACTAACATGTCGGAATACGCAATATCTGTATAATTAGTTGAGCGTTTCACTTGACTAACCCCGTGCCACATCAATGATTCCATGTTCCTTGCTTTGGGTTGTAACTAAATTCACATTCTAATAAAACACATTCATTAACTACTCCCAAAACTATTTCTGTAAACTACTTTTTTTTGCATTCTCCAACATCTAGTGCCAAAATGTATTTTCACAAACCGCTCCTACAAACCACCTACACCTAGACCATCTGATGTACACAATATGGCCTCCAACATAAGGGAACAGGATACTCTTCTATCTTACACCCCCCCCCCCCTCCTGTCTCACACTCAACCCCCACATACCAGCTTCGTTGTGTGTGTATTAATGTATGTGTGTGTGTGTGTGTGTGTGTGTGTGGTGAGTCAGCAGTCAACTAGTTCTAAGTCAAGTCGATGACCGAAAGACAAGAGACTTGAGCAGACATGACTTCAATCTCCCCCTGACGAAAGTCTCTCATGTGTAATCCCACCAGATATTTACCCTCCACTCGACTTACACAACATCCGCGCTCAATTGAGGAAATTATTTTCCCCCGCCCTCACAGAAGTTGCCAGTCAACTGGCTGGGGGGGGGGGGGGGCTTTGTGGTTTGTTTGTGTTAGCTAGTCACAAACAAGAACGTCTTAGTATCGCGTTAGAGAACTGTGAGTAAGCTAATGCTGAGATTCTGTCTACTCACACTGTAAAAAGACAGGTAAGTAGATTAAAGAAACGGGGATATTTCTCCGTTAATCGGCAACACGCATCAACTAATTCTTTAGAATTGAGCATTTATTAATAGGACATTTTGAAATGATGATTAGTTTAGTTAAAATGCTGACTAGGTTAATTGTAAATATAGATCAGATGAAGTAGAGTTCATCTGATTCTTTGACCTCGGGAGAAGATGGTTGAATGGTCATCACTTTGACCAGGCGCATTGAATCAGGTCCTATCAGTGTAAGCTGAAGCCAATGGCTCTTCATGCTAACAACAAGGGCAGCATTCTAAATGATTTACTTAGATAAACAGTCACTTCTTCTTCGTCTGTTTCAACTAACAGTGCAGCATTTGCTATTTGCAACATCCTTCCGTATTTTAAATCTTCATTTCTATTTTACTTTCATTTCTATTTAAATCTTCCTCGAATTTCCATTGCTATCTAGTTCTTGCCCTCAATTTCCATTTCTATCTAAACCTTCCCCTTAATTTTCATTTCTATCTAAATCTTCCCCTAATTTCCATTTCTATCTAAAAATCCCCCTAATTTCTATTTCTATCTAACCATCCCCCCTAATTTCTATTTCTATCTAAACCCCCCCCCCTTAATTTCCATTTCTATCTAACCATTCCCCCTAATTTCCATTTCTATCTAACCATTCCCCCTAATTTCCATTTCTATCTAACTCTTCCCCCTAATTTCCATTTCTATCTAACTCTTGCCCCTAATTTCCATTCTCAGATGTTGACACTTCAAACTCATCTCTATTTACAATTTGTTTTTTTTTAAAACTCAATCTGATCTCGTATATTCTGTTCAGGCATTTCAAAGCGTACAAACTAATATTGTATTTGTGTGAATGATTTCAACTTGCCCCTTTAATGTTTGAATCATTTGCGGTCAGTGCACTCACTAATTTATTCAAATCTTTTTTATTTGCGGTCATTTGCGGTCAATTCACTCATCAATTTGTTCAAATAAAAAATGGTTATGTAATGTTTATCTAATAAACAACTTTAATAACGGCATTTATGTTGAATAGCTTATAAACCTTTCATCATTGTAAAGAAAAAAACAATTCATTTCTAGTTCAAACGTTCAATTTAGCTTCACACACACGAGGTGCGCTTTTATTCTTTCCAGGTTTTGTTAGCACGAGTCTACATTGTACCGGTATCAAGTCTTAAGCAACATTCCTACGTGATATAAGTTTCATTGCATAGTGTCTTAACTTTATTTTTTTAAACCATTGTTTTAAAACCTCGACCTTTTCTCATCACGCGTCAACCCTATATTTATAACACTAAAACAGCGTAGATCACTATCTAGTTTGACAAGAACAAATCGTCTGTCACATTTAAATGTTTTATTTATAAGGAACAGAGAAAAACAAAAATTAGGATTGGAAATTAAATTAAAGAAACGGGGAAATCTCGATGAAATCAATGACCCAAATTATAAGCAAAATAAAACTCAAAGTTAAAAACAGACATGATCTGAGCTAAAAAAAATTGTAAGCACTGCTGTAAAACCTCTCTATCTCGGGCATGAAATAATTCCCTTCCTCTCGTGAGATGAAAATATTCGTGAAATGTACCGCTCTATTGTTAATTAATGGAGATCGTATTGTTTGATAAGACCACCTTTACAGAAAAATAACTAGAAAACTAACGGTTCAATAACTTACCTGATATCGATCGATGCTCATCGATGTCAACAAATTGGTTGTAGAGCTCAGGCAAATCATCTGGGGAGAGAAAAATTAATTAATTTTAATTAATTAATTAAAATATGTCACAGCGTTCATCTGTTCTGAAGCTCTGAAATCCTTAATATAATTTTCCCCACAAAATCTTTCAATACTTTCATTCATGTGGGAGGACACTTACAAAAATTGAGTTAAAATTTCGAGGTTTTTGAGTGCGGTGGCTAAGTTGGAATAAAAGTCTGGCGGCATCTGGGGGATGGGCGTGAAGAGATTTGTCTGTTTAAATGGGATCTGTCTAGTTTCACGACAACCCACATTTCTATTTATCTTTTCTTGGAGATTCATTGACCAAGGTCAGGATAGAGCGTAGCAACATTGAGTAGAGCTTAGGTCGTGCTTAGTGCATGGCCTTAAGGAACAAGCCTCTATCTCACTCTAGGTCCCGCATCTATCTTTTTGTACACATCTAATTAAAGCCTCATCCCACCCCCCTCCCACTAAAGGTCACATCCATTATTACCTCATGGCCCAGCCCTTGACATGGCCCATGGCCCCGGCCCATAGCCGGAGCCACCAAACCAATTCTACTGCTTTCCTCTCCATGACCGAGATGGCCAGAAAAAAATTTCTCCCCCGCCCTAAACGTCACATTACTACCCCCCTCCCCCGCCCTAACGTCACATTACTACCCCCCCCCCCCCCAACGTTGAAAACTTGACAGGTCTATTTAGACGATAGACTGGCTTATCCGGTCAATAGACTAGTCTATTCTGAAGATGGACAGTAGTGAAATGTACATCCTCTGACCAACGCCCATAAAGCTCTAATTACATTCCTTATTAATTGTGGACCCCAACGACTGGGTCGCCCGATCTCATTTAACTGCTTCAATGGCCGTCTTCAACTTTCGATTTCGTCTAATTGCTCTTCAGTTCATCTGATTTTTTTTTCTGTCTATTTTCTAAGCTGGACTCTCGTGATAGCCCTTTTCTGTCTCATCTATTTTACCAGTCTATTTTATATTTCTGATATATTTTACTAGACTATTTCGTGGGTATAACCTCTATAAATAGCAATTTTGTACACACAATCTGCCGTCTATTTGACCGATCAACTGTTCGTCCCTTAGCGTTGTGTACGTCCATCTATCGAGTCTAGCCCTAGGGGAAATAGCTAACACGTCGTCTTCGCTAACTTAATAGCTTTTTAGCTCATAGAGCTAACGGCTAATGTGTCATCTTATAGCTACTAGAGTCGAATTAGCAATACTTTAACATGGGTCGATGTAGCAATACTTTAAGATGGGTCGATGTAGCAATACTTCAACAGAGGTTGATGTAGCAATACTTTAACATGGGTCGATGTAGCAATACTTCAACATGGGTCGATGTAGCAATACTTCAACATGGGTCGATGTAGCAATACTTTAACATGGGTCGATGTAGCAATACTTCAACATGGGTCGATGTAGCAATACTTTAACATGGGTCGATGTAGCAATACTTTAACATGGGTCGATGTAGCAATACTTTAATATGGGTCGATGTTACAATACTTTAACATGGGTCGATGTAGCAATACTTTAACATGGGTCGATGTAGCAATACTTTAACATGGGTGGAGGTAGCAATACTTCAACAGAGGTTGAGTTAGCAGAGTTAGCAATACTTACGTATCTTTTCTCAGTATATAAGTTTAAATAAAGCAAATGGCAATCAACATCTCCCAATTTTCACCCTTGCCATAGCCCCCCAAATAGGCCTCTACAACATACACACACAAACCTCACTTAAACAAATCCTGTCTCCACCCCACAAGCAAGTCCCCCCCCCCCCCCTGCACTCACGTATGCACATTTGAGCAGTTATTAATGCAGCAGAAACTGGGTCACGATTGTTTTCAAATGCTGGGCATCATCATCGCACTTGGAAAATTGCACGCTGTAAAAAAAAGTGCAGTTGCACCGGCCTTGCATTTCTGATGCGAATTAGGAAACAGAAAGGTATGGCTGGGGGGGGGGGGGGGGGTTGAGAAACAAACTGTCATTGTGCATCAAACGGGCTGTGTCAGGCTGATAAGACACTCAACAATCTCTAATTTACGCTTATGTTTGGGGTTAAGCTTAAAGCCAACATTAGGCGACATGCCCAATCATCTTGTGTTACATTTTTTTAAAGCCATGTTTTATAAACATGAAAAGAAAAACGGTCTACAGAGAGCCAACACTCAAGTGTGCCAAAACAAATTTTTAACTAGCGAGAAGAATATTTGAGAGTTTACTTAGCCGTCGTTACGTTAAAAGATAGAAGGAATATATTCAGATGGATGAACATTTGTGCCCATCAATGTAAGCTTTTGAAAACCAGTTTCAAAATGCTAACGCTGAGTTTGCAGATGAAATCTTTAAGAGTTGCTCTTTCTCGTGTGTGCCCAAGACCCATGGGACAGATAGAACTAATTTGTTTCAATGCCATCGGCATACGAGAGTATAGAGTGGCCATTGGCCAGCGCCATGCCTAGTCGCACTTGTTTTGTTGACTTTCTATAGAGTCAAGCCTGGGACCTGAACTCGAGAATCTCGGGTTAACAGTCGTGTGCGCTACCAACCGACATAGCCGTTGAGTTAAATAATGACAAAGGTGTAGAGGAGAGCGACTACATGCTGATTTTTGTGTCACCACTATATCTGTGATGTCACCACTAGACCTGTGATGTCACCACTAGATATGTGATGTCACCACTAGATATGTGATGTCACCACTAGACCTTGATGTCACCACTAGACCTTGATGTCACCACTAGACCTTGATGTCACCACTAGATCTATGGTGTCAACAGCTTTTTAATAATGCTGTTCAACAGTTATTTATTATCCTAAAATGTACAGTCGTTCACTGTCCCATAGCGAGCTATACATTCAAAAACCCACAACGGGGATGATATAAAAAAAAATGTCTATAATATTTCTCTTGATATTAGCCAGAAACATTTCTGTATAATTTCACTTAATGTTTGTCACAAGAAGAATGGCCAACTGTCGTTGCTTATGTCCACCTAATGGAGTCGTCATCTACAATTCGTAATGGCGTTTTAAAATCAATCTTTGGACGTGAATAGAAAATTCGCGAGAGGAGGGGGTGGGGGTGGGCGGAGGTCCACTTGGGGTGTAAGTGTTGCTGGGCTGTATAAAATGTTTGGGGGTAGGGGTGTGAGATGGCGAATGGGGTTTATAGGGGTGTGTAAGTTGTTAAGTGTAAAGAGGGATGTTGGTAAGATGTGTGGGATGGGGATGTAGAATTGTTGTAGTGATGTGTGGGGGAGTAGTGGTTGTGATTGTAGGTTTGGAGATGTTGATGCTTAATGTGTGTGTGGATGGGTTTTCATGTTTGTATTTGTGTGGTTGGGTTGTAGAGGTGTGTAAATGTTTAATATAGTGTGTGTGTTTATGTGTGTTTGTGTGTGGTGGGGTGAATGTGTGGGTGTAGTGGTTGTAGTTGTGTGGTTTGTGGATGTGTGTAAATGTTGCTAGTGAGTGTGTGCTAAATCGGTAGCAGCATTGGAAGACGTAGGTGTGTGTGTGTGTGCATTAAGTCAAGATGTTATACATGTAAATATGTTATTTTAAGTATTTTAAGTATATATGTTAAGTATAAAGGGCATTCGTTTTCAACTAATTTGTAATTTAACTTTTACTATAATGAGATACACAATAAACACAAAGGGTTCAACAAATACGAATTCAGATATAATTTATAAAAAATATATTTTGATACTAAGAGTGGAACCATGGAAGAAAAAAAAAACATCGTTGATTTAGTGTGTGCTGGCTGGGAGAGTGGTGAGGAGGGTGTGTGTGGGGGGGGGGGGGGCAGGGAAAGGAGGTGGGGGGGGGCGGGGTTTGTGGAGAAATATTCCAGATCCGGCATCAGGTCAGTTTCAGCATTTATCTTTGTCAGACGTGTCGTCAGATTCAGTAGTCTTTGGGTGGATGTGGTAGTGTGGACGGGTGGATATGGTAATGTGGACGGGTGGATGTGGTAATGTGGACGGTGGATGTGGTAATGTGGACGGGTGGATTTGGTATGGACGGGTGGATGTGGTAATGTGGACGGTGGATGTGGTAATGTGGACGGGTGGATATGTGGACGGGTGGATATGGTAATGTGGACGGGTGGATGTGGTAATGTGGACGGTAGTGTGTGTTAATGTGGACGGGTGGATGTGGTAATATGGACGGGTGGATGTGATAGATATGGTCGTATCGACGGATGGATGAAGTGGATATGTTGGTGGGGACGAGTGGATGTGATAGTGTGGACGGGTGTATGTGATGGATGTGGTCGAAAGGACGGATAGCTGAGGTGGATATGTGGTGGTATTGACGGGTGGAAATAGTCGATGATGTGGAAGTGAATGAAGTTGTGGTACGGCGTGCGGACGTGTAAGAAGAAAAGAAAAGCGGATGAAAAAAATTTCTGCAAGCAGCTATCGATAAAACTGTTTCTAGCAAAACTTGACCCCCTAAACATCTGCCAGATGGCGGGATAAATCTCTACCTAATCGAATTAATTGATTGTTGAAATACGCCTGGGAGAATATACAGACGACATTGTCTAGACTGTAAACTGAGATACCCTTAGACACACTCCAAGAAATATCCCTGGCCCATTGAGACAATCCTAAGACATAGAAAAAAAAAAACATCGTTTGTCTCGAATGTTATCATAAACTTCCTTTAGAAAATCTCCACTCACAGCGGTAAATGAACTATCTGCACCTACTGCTCAAAAGAACGATTGTTGTATTTTCAGCTTAGAAACCCAAATTAGAGTTTAATTGACCTGAAATTCTTATGGACTACTGAAACCGATACGTCTGTGCGCTCTTTTAGTTTCAATTACCAGGGAGATTTCAGTTCAGTTTTTTTCGCTACTCAGACACACCGGCACATAGTTTAGTCCATACGATACTTCAGTGTACACAGACGATTATAACCACCCCCCCCCCCCCGCCCTATCGCGTGCGGTCTACATGATTGAGTTGTTGGATCCTAGGATACAGGCCAAGCTCATGGAACTCCAGATATCTTGACTGACTCAGTCGGGAGATTCTTATACTAAGAGTATAGTCTAGTGCCGTCTTTAAATCCGACGTGAAACATTTATATAGACGTGAACATGTATAGAGAAGTGGACATTTATATAGACATGGACATTTATATAGGCGTGGACATTTTTATTCACGTGAAAATTAGAGGTTAAAATCCCTTAGGTGTAAACACAACGGAAACGTGAACACAATGTAGATTTGAACAGCACGTAGCAGTGAACTAAAATGACTTTTTCAAATCCAAAAAAAAAACTGACATTTTTCCAATACAAAACACGTCAAAATTACAGAATGACACAATAAGAAAGAATTTGAAATAATTCACTAAATCTAAAGTGTATAGCATTTTATTTTTGTTAAACTAGAGAATTTTGAATAATTATATAAACGGGAGGAAATGGGAGGGGGGAGGGGGAGGGGCGGAAAGCAAAGACAAAAGCTCGCACCGAGCACGGGATGCGTCGCTAGGCCTCTGTCCTTACCCCTACCCTAACACCACACTATGTTCAAATATTTTTTTCATTTATTACTAGAAAAATGAACGTCAATTTAATGAGCAGACCCAATAAACCAATTATGTACATCCAATACGAACCCCCCTGTAATAATATAAAGAAAGTAATTATATTCAAGGGAGAGCATTGCGTGTGGCCAACATGTTCCCTGAGTTGTCCTCCCCATCATCGACTTCTGGCACCACTCGCAGTCTCCCAGCCCAACAGGAACCGGAAATGTCCCCCAAGACAGAACAATCACACCCCCCCCCCCCCGTCACTGGCAGACGAACAAACTGGCTAGAGACAAACCCCAGACCAACGGCCAAAACACAAGACACCGTTGCCATAGTTACCTGAACGTAAACACTGATTTTGCACATCAGAGGCCCGAGCGCCCAGTCGCCGAACGCGATGAAAAAAATCTCCGTGGAGTTGACGAACAGGGCCACGGCCAGGTCCCCGATGGCCAGGTTCATCAACAAGATATTGACCCTCTTGATGCGTCTTGACCTCTTGCAGAGGAGCACCAGTATCAAGGTCATGTTCCCGATCAGCGTGACTGGAGAGAAAAAAAAGACACAAAAAAAAAATGTGATTCACTCCCTTTTTTTAATGCTAGAAGGCGAGATGAATTCAATAAATCGGGAGTGATCTCCCCTAACTTTCTCGTGTGTTTGTATACAACTATGAATGCTGGGAATTTGTCTATAGATCTAGTAATGTTAGGCAACTAGAGATTATTATCGTCAATTTTTTAAGTTTTTTTAAAAAACCTAAAAGTACCACTTCCGCTTATCGGAAATTGCTCAAATGTTTAGAGAAACCTACATTTAAAAAAATAAATAAAACGATACTTATGTTTTCGTGTTCACACACAAACACACACACACACACACACACACACACACACACACACACACACACACACACACACACACACACACACACACACACACACACACACACACACACACACACACACACACACACACACACACACACACACACACACACACACACACATATATATATATATATATATATATATATATATATATATATATATATATATATATATAATATAGATACAGAAAAAGTCAGAGAAAGAAGAGAAACAGAGACAGACAGAAAAACAGACAATGTTGAACAACTGAGATTTCCGAATAAGCAATGAGTAAAACGTCAAGATTTCTTAAATTCTCGACTTCGATTTTATTTTGCACGATTACAATACATCCAGCCCTAACTTTCATCTACGAGAAAGTAATAATCACCATCCAGCTTATTTATAAAGCTGTAGAAAATAGCAACATTTAAAACAAAGTGAAATAATGAGTCAGGAGAAATGTTCATTTAATAACACCAAAGCGCGCTGTTTTATTATAGGGAAATATGGAAAAAAAAAGTCTTCAGTGCATTAAGTTAAGTAGCGCCCTTAATTTGACATACTGTCGATATTTAGCCTAATTGAACAGCGAATTTTAGCTTGTTAACACATTAGGAACCGTGAGGTGTGTGTGTGTGTGTGCATTTGTGTGTGTGGTTATCTAAACTGTGTGTGTGCTTGTGCTTGCCCATGTGTGTGTAATTAGCTAAGTGCGAGGTGTATATATATGTATGTGTGCATGTGTCTGGTTAGCTAAGCAAGAATACTGATGACGTCAGCTAAGATTGGTAGATAATTCTCAATGGTACTTTTAATTTCATCACGGTAAATTCGGTATCACCTTTTTGTGGATATTTTCAAAAACAAACTCCGTTACGCTTAGATTAATTTTGCACGGAGCATTTTTTCCAAAACATAATTCAATTATTCCCAAAGCACAATTTAATTAGTCCTAAAGCACAATTTAATTAGTCCTAAATTTGAGCGGTATTTTGTGCATACTATACTTTTGTTACTCATTCAACTGCAATCTGCTATTTTATGAACACACATATGTCATGCTTAAAGAAACGCTAATAATGACTACTTCAGTGACGCTTACTTTACTTAACCAACGCCCACTTAGCCAACGCCCACTCGGCCAACGCCCACTCGGCCAACGCCCACTCGGCCAAAGCCCACTCAACCAACGCCTACTCGGCCAACGCCCACTCAACCAACTCCCACTCAGCCAACGCCCACTCACCCAACGCCCACTCAGACAACGTCCCACTCGCCCAACGCCCACTCAGACAACGCCCACTCGCCCAACGCCCACTCAGACAACGCCCACTTAGCCAACGCCCACTCAGACAACGCCCACTCGCCCAACACCCACTCAACCAACGCTCACTCAACCAACGCCCACTTAGCCAACGCCCATTCAGATAACGCCCACTCGGCCAACGCCCACTCGGCCAACGCCCACTCGGCCAACGCCCACACATAATTAGAAAGAAGTTGACCCAAGACACACACGCCACATGAAGTTGACATTGAAGGCTGGACAATATTTGTCATGTCTGATGTAATCCTAAACAGCTCGTGGGGGGGGGGGGGGGGGCGCATCGTCTCACTGTCTTACACGGTTTTAGCGTGTCTCATTTCAAGACAGTCTCTCAGAGTCTTTCATAGAAAGTCTCAAAAGTCTCCGAGGGTCTCACTGTATTTCCAGTCTCAAAGGTAGCGTGTATGTCTCATTTTGTCTCACTGTCTCAAGATGGCCGTCTCAAATATTCTCACTGTCTCAAGATGGCCGTCTTAAATATTCTCACTGTCTCACATTGGCCGTCTCAAATATTCTCACTGTCTCAAGATGGCCGTCTCAAATATTCTGTCTCAAGATGACCGTCTCAAATATTCTCACTGTCTCAAGATGGCCGTCTCAAATATTCTCACTGTCTCAAGATGGCCGTCTCAAATATTCTGTCTCAAGATGGCCGTCTCAAATATTCTCACTGTCTCAAGATGGCCGTCTCAAATATTCTCACTGTCTCAAGATGGCCGTCTCAAATATTCTCACTGTCTTACATTGGCCGTCTCAAATATTCTCACTGTCTCAAGATGGCCGTCTCAAATATTCTGTCTCAAGATGGCCGTCTCAAATATTCTCACTGTCTTACATTGGCCGTCTCAAATATTCTCACTGTCTCAAGATGGCCGTCTCAAATATTCTGTCTCAAGATGGCCGTCTCAAATATTCTCACTGTCTTACATTGGCCGTCTCAAATATTCTCACTGTCTCAAGATGGCCGTCTCAAATATTCTCACTGTCTCAAGATGGCCGTCTCAAATATTCTGTCTCAAGATGGCCGTCTCAAATATTCTCACTGTCTTACATTGGCCGTCTCAAATATTCTCACTGTATTCTCACTGTCTCAAGATGGCCGTCTCAAATATTCTGTCTCAAGATGGCCGTCTCAAATATTCTCACTGTCTTACATTGGCCGTCTCAAATATTCTCACTGTCTCAAGATGGCCGTCTCAAATATTCTCACTGTCTCAAGATGGCCGTCTCAAATATTCTCACTGTCTTGTGATGGCCGTCTCAAATATTCTCACTGTCTCAAGATGGCCGTCTCAAATATTCTCACTGTCGTAGGTGGCCGTCTCAAATATTCTCACTGTCTCAAGATGGCCGTCTCAAATATTCTCACTGTCTCATGATGGCCATTAACACAATCACACAAAGCAAACGTTAACAACGTCACCCAATCACTTAAAACAAGTTGCACAATATCACATTAACAATCAATAGCTTCTTTGTATTACATCACCCAACCCTCCTAAAGTGCTCAAATCCTTTTTCTAATAGCTAAACTTTGATACCCCACCCGTCTACCGTCTGCTATCATCATCATCCTACCACCAACCATATTACCCCCGCGGGGAGAAAGTTTTTGTTTCAGACAGTCGATCCCCACCCAGAACTAAATTCCTGCATTGTTGAGTTGATGGGTTTGACGTTTTCAGACTACAAACCCGACACACATTGAATATTCCATCCATTCTAGACTTAATGGAGAATCGGAGATGTTCCCAGTGGTGTTGTCTCACTTATAATTACCTGGATTGGGTGATTGCTTTGTCAAATGTCAGCTAATTATCTTTGTTTAACGTACAACTACGTTAAATGTCATTTTTTTTTAAATGATCACTGCTTTAATAGATTTGAGTTGGGTTACATGAAATTTATAACTGCATAGAATGACACTTTTAAAATATATTGCACAATAAGTTAAATGATAGCTTCTTAAATAAGTTATTGTTTAAATGACAGCTGAGATAAATGCCATCTCTTTGTTCTAGTTAGAACGACAGGTGTGATTGAACGCAGCGAAAAAAACAATAAATAATTCGTTGAGATATTTCGCGTCCGGTTTAGTGAGATGACACGATGGCATTTAACAGATGCCAATTTTCTGTCACGACTTTATGACATTCAACAGATGACAACTTAACTTGCATGCCACGATGTCATTTAAAGATGACAGCTTAACTTGCACAGCATGATGACATTCAATTAATGACAATTGAAATGACATTCGACAGGCAACAACTAAAACGACATTTGACAGATGACATTTAACAGATGAAAAATATATGCAAATATGACATTCAGCATGTGACACCTAAAATGACATATGACAAATGACAACTTACATGCCATGATGACAGCGATGATGATGACCCTGTGCTTGTCCGCGTCACGCATGACGTAACTCTTGCTCTCCGTGACGTTGTCCAGACCGCTCGTGACGTTAGCGGCGCTGGATGACGTCACAAAGTCCGAGTAATTGAACGATGACGTGGACACACGACTGGGTGTATCCAGTCCGGTTATCTTTTCCATGTTTGTATCCAGACTTTGTTTCAATATATCCACGAAATCTCCATAAAACTACTCTTTCAAAAAAAAAACGAAACAAAAAAAATTCTCATTTTAAAAAAAAATTAACACGAAATTCTGACGAATTGCTGCTGAAATATCCATGAACTGCATAGATAACTATTGATCAAACAGATCTTCAGGTAATGCCAATCACTGCGTGCTAACTAATCATTCCATGCCGATGATAAAAACAATCGAATTAATTCCAGATTTAACCCATCGTTATGCAAATTATTCATTGAATGAAGTTCTCATTAGCAACTAAAAAACACAGAGCAGACGACACAATGCCATGTGACACATTCTGTGCCTGGGGTCATCTATCACGTGATGGGGTTGTGTCCTGGGTCATCCCTCACGTGACGAGGGTACAGAAACAAACCAGTGTTAACTCAAACACTAATCCATTGTTGACATCCGTAGTAAGGCAAGGTATTTCGGGCTAACGGATTAGGTTAATCCAGAGGGTAGATAAGCTGTTTGTAGAACAGCCTGGAGTAGAGACACTCCATGTCTGGCAACAACGGCAGACGGCGGCGTTTGTTTGAGGCTGACCACTTCACTGTCCGGAGTCTCTGCTAGCAGGGGCACTCTGAAAGAAAGATCAGTTTTCTGAATCAACGGTCTGGAATCTATGTGGGGGGGGGGGGGAGTTTAAGATTTGTTTAACATCTAGTCGGGGATACAAATTCCAGTCTTTGTTCAATAGTCTAGTCTTTGTTAAAGGCTACCGTTAGTTAAAGAGTCTATGTTTCCTGAAATAGTCTAGTCTTCATTAGGAAACGTTTCGAGGGAGGGGGCAAGACACCCTCCTTCCGGTGGGGGGGGGGGGGGGGGGAAGGCATCCTCCTACCACGAAGCACATCCACTCTCTCACTCTCTCTCTCTCTCTGTCTCTCTCTCCCCTTCGAAGAAAACAAAATATAATATATATAGAAAATAACGTAATTTAACTCGTATCCCCCCCCCCCAACGCACACACAAAACAAAAAACACAAGTCAAGGACCCTCCTCCGAAAGTTTAAATTACCCCCCACCCCTCCCCACGGAGGAAAATATCTGATAGAAATACTGATTATTCCATCGTAGTCTTTGCTATCAGTTTACTGCCTCAGTGAAAGAGCGGTATAATTGGTTGTTACCGGTGTTTTCCTAAGCTGTTGTTTGAAAACATCGGATAGCGTGGAGTAATTATTTAACTGAACGGCTGTCAGAAAGTTCCAGATTCTTTGAGCGGTTGTTGATACAACAGTAGCGAGCATCCTGTAAGTACAGTCAGCTGCCCCCCCCCCCCACATACAGCCCCATCCCATCCGTACCTGTGAACATCTTCAACCACTAAAACCAATGCTGATGTTGTCCATAAAATTATGACTATCAAACACTTAAAAAACACATAATTTAAAATAAAGTTGTTGAGACACTAAGTTAGTTTAGTGTCCACCGTATTTGTTACCTGTCGATATTAAGTTTTATTGTACATGGATGTAGTGCAGTGGTTAGTATGAAACACTTTCAATAGAAAGTAATGTTTTCATTAGGTCAGCTGCTTCTTATGTCGCGGGCTAGGCACCCCATGGCGGTCTAGGTTGTAACCCATTAGATGTCGCCAGTAGGTGCCAGTACATGAGACTAACACTACAGACTGACCATTCCAAGAGACCACACAGTAGACTGACATTTCCATTACACTAGCTGTAGGTGCAAGTAGACTGATGATCCCATGAGATCGCCTATATGTACCACTAGACTGACAATTCCATAAGACCAGATGTAGGTACCACTATACTGACCATTCCATAAGACCAGCTGTAGGTACCAGTAGACTGACCATTCCATAGACTGCCTGCAGGTACCAGTAGACTGACCATTCAAGTCTCGCTACTCTCCTAATAAGGGGCCGCCTGCTATTCAACACGTCTACCCTTTCCAGCAGTACCGTACCGTCTAGCACCGTTCTGGTCCACCGTTCTGGTTCAACCGTTCTGGTTCCACCGTTCTGGTTCCACCGTTCTTACTCCACCGTTCTGGTTCCACCGTTCTGGTTTCACCGTTCTGGTTCCACCGTTCTGGTTCCACCGTTCTGGCTCCACCGTTCTGGTTCCACCGTTCTGAGACCAACGGCCTCCCCCACACCTTCCTCCATCACAACAATACGCCGCCATCTTGAAGCTGCCTCGTTTTCACCCATTCACGCCTGTCTCTCCACTCTTCCCGTGCAATTATAAAATCACGTGACTGTACCACGTGATTTTATTTATTTTAAACACGTTGCGTTATCAATTCGAGGGCGCGTGAACCCTCGCCGTAGTGCAACACAAAAACAAATCCTAATGTAGTTCTCTTCTGCGTGGTCTTCTGGCTCTACAGCTAAAACCCAAGTCAACCCTGATACATTCATTTGGATGTAATCGGATGTAAGCAGCACTTTATAGTCGATGTTATAATTACACGTCTGGGTAGCGATGGGGATGCGGAACTAGTAATTAAGCGAGGTTGGTTTAACTGAAAAACTAACGGTCTATAATTAAGTCAGGGAATGAAGCTTTAGGGTTTTAGGTAGTTACATTGTTATAGTCGACGGTAACGATTGTTATCATCAGTTTTTCCCGTTCGTGCCCCAACATGACGTAGACGAAGTAGAGTTCATCTGTTTCTGAGACCTCGGCATATGAAGGGATAATGTGGTCAGCAGTATACCCTGCCGCCTTTATTTCCCTAAAGTGAGTTAGGTACTCGTTAGAGCTGGGTTGACACAGGGATATTCTACTGACTTGAACCCGGGTTCGAACTCGAGATTGTTATAGTTCTCATTAAGTTGTTCAATTGTTATTGTCGCCAGTCGTAAGATCGTTATAGTCGCCAGTTGTAAAGATTGTTAAAGTGGCCAGATATAATTACACACTGTCTAACAAATTGTAAACTTGAAACAATTCAAATCAAACGTTTGAAATCGGATATTTGCGGTAAGTTCGATCTGTTTTCTATATCAGCAAAAGTGCAACTATTTTCGGAACACACCTAAGTTAGAGAAATTGGTGAATACAATTAAAGGTGCAGATGTCGTAGGTTTAACTTGAGAGATGGGACGAAAGCGAACAGGTGAGTTATCTTGACGAGGTGGGGAAAGTAGTGGCGAAGGAGGGAGGGGAGTGGGGCGAGAGTGGGGAATGGTGGGGAGGGAGTGTAATTTTACCTCGTAGCTCAAACAAATACTAGAAATACTGGTAACAAATGTCTTAAACGTACCACTTACAAAATCTTATTAATGTCATTGTTTTCCATCACTATAGATACAATTCATAACCCTAACCTAAACCTAACATAAACCCGTAACTGTTTGTGAAAGCATAGATAATTAGTTTTTAATAAGAAAACTAATTAAGTTTTTAAGTTGGCGTCTTTAGAAACAGAATGTTCCCTATCTGGGAGACTAACGTTTAGGTCTCATGATGATGTATAAGTAGGATCATCGTGTAGTTGTCGTTGTGTACAGTAGGATTATCATGTAGTTGTAGTTGTGTACAAGACTAAAAGTTGACGGAGCGGCCTAGTAGGCGCTAGACTGCTAACCTGTAAGTCTGGATTTCGAATCTCGGTTCAAGTCAGTAGACCTTTCCAGATGATGGGTACCTAACTTGCGTTAAGAAAGTAAAGGCGGCTGGGCATAATGCTGACAACACTATCCCTTCATATGCCGAGGTCACAGAAACAGATGCACTCTACTTCACTTAGACCGTCAGGTTCGGAAAGGGAACTTTACTTACCATACTAAAACACTATAAAGTATCCGACTTGTCGCAGATGTATAACTTAGAATATATATCCCAATACGACAAATAAATCCAGTATGTAGATGCTCATTACGAATGCATTCTGCTCTCATCTTTATATTTACTCAATTTAGAATCTTAAGTCGCATCAAAATTGCACTAAACACATTTTATTTTGTATAAGCTAAATTGTTATCACTTTAAAAAAAAAACTATTGGATACTTTACTTTGTAGAATGCTAGGCACCAAATGAAAACCAAATATCAACTACAATGTACTAATATATCTTTTATTTCTTTGTCTGGCCTGATAAAGTCTCAGATAATCAATTGTTCCTTACCACAGGTAACTACACCCATAGGTGTTCTTTGTGTACAGGAAGTCTTTGATAGGTGGGGTACCAGAAAAAGAAGGAAACCGTTGCCTAGGAGACTAAAGTCTTTGTTGGTCTAATATAGAAACCATACCTGGCTAACGCTGGGAGACGGTAATGTTTTCCAAACCGTCATTTTTCTGATGAGTTCGTGACGTCATGAATTGTAAGTAAACCGTGGGGAGGGAGAGGGGTTATGCTGGTTGTGGGTGGTAGTAATATGCGTGTAGATGCTTTGTGTATAGTTATGTGTGCGTGCCTGTGTTTATGTATGTGTGTTTATGTACATTTTAATATGCATACGTTAGTATGTATATGCATCTATGTGTGTATGTTTGTTGGCGTATACTCGTATATGTTTTTGAATATGTATGTGAAAGTAAATGTGTACTTGTACACACACACACACACACACACACACATATATATATATATATATATATATATATATATATATATATATATATATATATATATATATATACATATATATCTATATATATCTGTGTTTGTGCAAGAGTATGAATATCTGTTTTTGTTTGTGTACATGTGTATGTGTATGTGTGTACCACACGTTTTCATGTTTTACTTGGTCATTCGCCATCACTAGTACATTGGCCATCACAAGTACATTAGCCATCACTAGTACACTGGCCATCACTAGTACATTGGCCATCACTAGTACATTGGCCATCACTAGTACATTAGCCATCACTAGTACACTGATCTTCACTAGTACATTGGCCTACATTAGTACACTGGCCACACTA